ACAAGTTTTTCCTTTCAATGTAAGCCCCCCCACCCTTGAGTTTAATGCACTTTTCCATCCTTCTCTGTGCTGCTAGAAGGATTCTTCTTGGATGCCTCTCAGATCCGTCTTTATGGCCCTCTTGATGGCCCCCAAGCCTTCAAAACGGGGCCCCTTGAAGATCCCCTTCACCTTGGGGAAAAGAAAAATGTCACACGGAGCAAGATCAGGTGACTGGTTAGGTTGACCCAGTACGGTGATGTTACAGGAACTGCCATATGCTCAGGACGTTGTGAGCAGGTGCATTGTCGAGGTGAAGCAGCAACGATTTGTCTTGCCAAAACTCTAATCTCTTCTCGCGCACTGAGCCAAGCGAACGCCCCGGGATCTCTTTATAGACTTGCTGATTGATCGAGGGGGGTTACTTTGAAGTGGAAACCATGTTGTTCGTTATTTGAAATAGAAATGCATTGTTTGTGACACCAGTCCTGTGCTTTTTAGACAGACTTCGTATGTTGTTATTATAAATTTATAATTTAATAGCTACTCGCGTTTGTGTTTGCTATCCTTTTATTTTTATTTTTACAATAAAAATATATAAATATACCATGAGAATTTCAGCTTAATATATATACAGGTTGCGATTGATAAATTGTCGTCCAAATTACGCTCAAAAGAAAACAACACTAACATCCCATTTTCACAGATATATTCAATAAATTACACAAAAATATCTTCAAATACTAAAGAGTAAATTTATCTCCTGCAACTCTTCTGGGCAGTCTCCTTGTGTGAGTTGGAAAATGCTGCCATTATCCTTGCCTTCAGTTCATCTTTGGTGTTAGTCGATACGTGACTGACGAGGCAGATTTTTTTCCCGCAGTAGGTTGCTATTTCTTTCTACGGTAGACCAGTTGCCATTCAAGGCTATAGAACCCGGTCTGTCCTGCTATTTACCCATAGCTGGGGGAGAAGAAGAAGAAGAGGATTCATACTTTCCACAAGGGTATTAGCACGTAAGAGGATGTAATTGAGTCGATTGGAATTCGAACTCGGCTCTCCGATATCTCAATCCGAGCCGCTTCACCGTAACTTCAATAAAAATCTGTGAGGATTTCAACACATCAGTTTGTTGCAAAAATGATTCTAGTCCATAGTATGAATTACAAGCACATGTACATCAAGTAAAGACTTGTAATAACTGGGATAGAAACACGTGCAAAGTTCATGGTAAGCTTCTTGTCCATTGCTTGTAATGTGAAAATAAATAAATAAAATAAAATAAATAAATAAAACAGTTGAAGAGGAGTTAGATTGACTACAGATTATTTGAAATGATCACATTGAAAATAAAATGAAACCTATTTTCACATATATGAATTTATGAAATGATTTGAATTTATGAAATGATATTTTAAAATTATTTGCACTATTTGCATTCGGATACTTCTTATTTTTGTTATTGTTATAACAACCTTTCGGTTATTTTACCCAATGGCGATTCTGGAACTCTGAAAGGTTGGTGCGTGTGTGGAGGGGTATTCCACTTGGAGGCTGAGATTTTTCTGCGGAGGATCGGGGGCAGGGGTTCAAATTCAAGCCGCGTCCTGAATCCCAAATTACCTCATCTAGGTATAGCCTATTTCAGACCAGCTCACCCTTGCACCAGTCCTCTTCAGCCCTGAAATGAATTCCTCTTGGAATCAGAGATTTGGAATTTAATTTAGATAGCAGTCGGGAAAAGATACAAACCTACCCAAAAAGACGCCTCGTCTCTATAAAGAGCCTGAGTTGGTGGTAAGGGGGGGCCGTGAGTTATCTCTGTAAAGGGGGAGAGGTCGCTGGAATCGACCCCGATATTTACTTTATGATCCTAAGTTGGGGTTATATGAAGAGTGAGGTGTTGAATTGAAACTAAAAGAGGGGCTGAAATTGGTGTTTATTTATAGGCCCCCGCTAGGGAATACCAAATTATATCAACAACAAATATGTTTTAATAGGATTAACAATAAATTTTATTTAGACAATTAATATAAGGAAAGAATAGAATTAAGGGTTTAATATTATTAAGTAATGGGGGGGGCATTTAAAAATAAAACAATTTAAAATTAGTATAAATTATCCATTTATCATATTAAGGATCAGTTAAATTATTAGGAAGACTAAGCTATACCCGAAATTCTTTAAGAGAAAAATATTAAAGTAAAAAGTTAATCAAAGTTGGGTAGAAACGTGTGAAAAGATCACAGTAACCATCTTATTTATTACTTGGTATGTTAAAAAACATTTGAAGAGGAGTTAGATTCGTTATAAATTGTTTGAAACGATCATACTTGAAAATAAAATGAAACATATTTTTGCATATTTTAATTTTTGTTAAGTTTCTAATATTAAAGCATCAACACAGCCAAAATTACTTCAAGAACATCAACATCAGACGGCCAGTTATGTGGATTTGAAAGGATTTTCAAATAAAGTCTAAAGTTGACCTGTAAAGCTTGTGGAACTTTCTTCTGGTTTCTTGCTTTACAGGTCAACTTTGATCTTCGAAAAGCAACGTCAGTCGTTATCTTTTGTCTTCTTAATTCCTGTTCTTTTATTGTTCTCACTCCTTAATAATGTTTCTTTATCCCATCTTCTCTCACACTCTGTCACTCCTTGTGTCATAGTGAAATTATCGCCTTATTGGAGTAAAATGATTTGAAAATATCCATTTTAAAGGCATTTAAGGAAATTATTTTATTAATAAAATTTATTGTTCCCTTTTTCTATTCTTTATTACTCATACAGTCATGGTTAATTTAATTGTTATATTCGTATTGTTAATCTCCCAGGCTTTCTTTAGGTGTCAGTTTTCAAACTCCAAGAGACGCATCGCCTAGTGGATTAAAACGTTGGTTAAAATGAAATATCGGTGGACTTGTACAATATGTATTGCGACCAGATATAGTCCTTTTTTTTCAATCTTTTATTCTTATTTACACATAGATTAAGCGCTCCAGCTCACGAATAACATTTTTTCTCAACAACATTTTATATACCGTTTTTGATGGCATATAAGACTCACGGGTGTATAAGACGCACCCCAATTTCAGCAGGAAAAATCAAGAAAAATTAGTAATTAGTAAAATTTGTAAAATTATTAGTAAATGGTACAGCCTAGGCTATATTTATGAGGTATTATTTTGGTTAAACAAGCCATGATTACAATTAAACGAAAAATATTCGGAAAAAAAGAACACGAGCCTATAAAAACTTTATTATATCCAAAGGTAAGAAAACAAAATAAAAATCAAGCAATTATTAAAACTAAGTAAAACAGTACAGTTTTATTTTATTCATCTTCAAATCCATAAAATCCGTCGTTTTCCTTATCAAAATTGATACTCATTTTCGATACTATTATCATCGTCGTTAAATAATGCGTCATCTTCCGTTCCATTGAGAGCATTGCTAATGCCACACTTTTTAAAAGATTTCATAACAATTTCTGGTCCGATATTATCCCAAGCTTGCTTCATCCATTCGCAGACTTTTGCAATACTGGGTCTTTTTATTCTTCCTGTAAGTGAAAGGTCATGATTAGGCATTGGCATCCTCGTGTTCCATTGCTCCTTCATAGGAGTTGCCAGGTTGCTAATTTTGGCCGACTATCGCGAATTTTAAAACTACATATGGCATATAAGACGCAGGGGAGTTTTAAAAGATATTTTTAGTAAAAAACAATTGCGCCTTATATGCCGTCAAATGCGGTAAGTTTAATGATTAAATTTAATTAAAAGTCTTTAATCATTAAAATAATGTTTTAATATTATTTTAATTCATTAATATTTAACCATTAAAAATTTAATGATTAAATATATATTTAAATTTTTTCACATTTTTTTATAGATTAAGCGCTTCAAATCACGAATAGCAATTTCTTTTTGTTTTTATTAAATTAAGAGAAAAAACAACTTGGGTTTTACTATGTAAACTCATTGTAAATTGACCACATTGGGAAACGAACACAAAATATGCTCACATGAGATGATTTAAGATGATGAGATGATACATAAAAAAATATGAAATTCATAATCTGGAATTCTTTTTTTGTATATTAGTATCGATTAAGCACTCCAGATTACGAATTAAAAAAAAAAAAATTTAAATTTATTAAAACACGTCATATTTTATTATTGGCTTCGGTAGTTTGCCATTAATTTACATGGCAAATAAAACGCCTATTAACTTTTAAAACATTTAAAAAATTGATATTCGTTATCTGCAATGTTTAATCTATAGAAATCTTATATCTTAATCTTTTCTAATTTTAATCTTATATCAGTAATCTTTTCTAATGTAAGTATCTTCAATAGGATTTTACTCATAACGTGCATACGAATAAAGGCATCTTTATGAAAAAAATCTGTCTTCTTACAATTGATTTTTAGTCCTGTTTTTTTTTGCTTTTTGCAGTTTATGTTTAATCCTTTCTATCTCTGCTATCAACACTGTGTCATCTGCATATCTTATGTCGTTAAGATTGTGGCCGCCAACAATGAATCCTGCTATGACTTTTAATTCTCTCAGAATCGCCTTATTGTATTGATTGAATAAGTCCGATGAGAAGACACCTCCTTGTCTTACACACCTTGATCTTAAAAGAATTTGAAATATATGATTTGTACCTAGACTCCAGCACACGTTCCTCGTGCCCCAGTTAGAGTTACAGTCATCTAGCGAACTCTGCTGATACGTTTTTCTTATTTGGTTATGAAAGTGTTAGTTTAATCCGTAACCTTTAATGTATGACATTTCACTGATTACCCTCAGAGAGGGGTGACATCAGTGCATCTTTGCAACGCTGTGATCGAGGTTCTCCCCGCGGCTTTGATACTGCGAGACGAATCCGAGCATCGACCTTTGGGTTCTACTGCAGACTTCTAGTAATTGTAAATAATGGAGAGAGAGAGAGAGAGAGAGAGAGAGAGAGAGAGAGAGAGAGAGAGAATCAGCGATAGAAATCAGAGAGAGAGAGATCAGAGAGAGAGATCAGAGAGAGAGATTAGAGAGAGAGAGATTAGAGAGAGAGTGAGAGATAAGCAATAGAATGATATATAGATAAATAGATAGATAGAGAGAGAGATCAGTGATAGAATGAGATATAGATGAAAATCAGAGATAGATAGAGTGATTAGAGAGAGAAAGAGTGGGAGAGTGAGAGAGAGAGAGAGAAATCGGCGATAGAATGAGAGATAGAAATTAGATAGATAGATAGACAGATTAGAGAGAGAATGAGATAGATGGGTAGATCTGAGATATATACATAGAGAGATTAGAGAGAGAGAGAGATCGAGAGAGAGATCAGAGAAATCAGAGAGAGAGAAATCAGAGAGAGAGAGAGAGAGATCAGAGAGAATAGGAGAGGGCAGATAGAGAGAGATAGAGATCAGAGAGAGATAGTAGAGAGAGAGAGAGAGAGGAAGAGCGATAGAAATCAGAGAGATGGATAGAGATCAGAGAGAGAGAGATCAGTGAGAGAGAGATCAGTGAGAGAGATACAGATAGATTAGAAACAGTTCAGAGAGAGAGAGAGAGAGAGAGAGAATTAGAAATCAGAGAGAGGGATAGAAATTAGAGAAAGAGATATCAGTGAGAGAGAAATCAGAGCGAGACCTGTAGGGGAGGAAGGGGGGAGATAGAGAGAGATAGCTGAGATTGAGCATGATTTGAGAGTGAGCATTATTTTGATTGGTTGGGGGTCATGCAGACGGATAGAACCAAACTACTCTCTTTTATTTCTCTTTTCCTATAGGATGCCGTAGGGACAAGACGTTTCTCGTTTCTCCTTCATGGAAACAACACAGCTGGTAATTCTAACAAACCAACAAAAAGCTTCTCTAAGTCTCTTCATAGGATTTTGCTCATAACGTCAGTCAGTCAGTTATGTGCCATACGTAGTACACGCTTAGGCGATCATGTATCTTTCGATGCATGACTGACGAGACAGATTTTTCCTGCAGTAGGTTGCCATTTCTTTCTGTAGTAGACCAGTTGCCATCATCCAAGGCTATGGAACACGATCTGTCTTGCTATTTACTCATAGCTGGTGTGGGGGAGGGGAGAAGAAGAGGATTCATACCTTTCCCAAGGTTATTAGCACGTCAGTGAATATAATGGATTTAACTGGAATTCGAACACGGCTCTCCGATTCCTCAATGTGAGCCGCTATCCATTGCCTCCACTGTGCCTCATAACGTATATACGAATAAAGGTATCTTTATTGCGCCCACTTCCACTTAGCTCTTTTTATACTCTTCTTAATCACTTTCTTATCTGCCTCGTTTCTCGCATAAACATCTACATCGCCCACGAAATATCTCTACAATAAACTAGCGACGTCGGAAATGGAAAAAGGAGAACTAATAAAACAACACCCAATCCGCATGCTTTCTTTGTCAAAAAATGGGAACAAATAGCCTTCATGTGGAGAGAGAACGAATTCGGTGAATAGACAAAAATAGAGGGGAAAACAAGAATACGTTTTCTCATTGAATTTCTTTAACTTTTAAAACAAAACGATCTTCATCCGTCCGTGTATTGAAATATTGCTGCCATATCTTGTGCCTCTGCTGTAAATCTCGAGATTCATGACAAAATCTAAAGAAGAACCTGTAATGTTATCGGTCTTGACCTGGCATCTGAACTACAGTCACTTTTCCACCGCCGTGACTTGGCTTTCCTCTGTCTTTACAAGAAATATTTCCCTGGCAATTATTCTGATAAGCATTCCTCCCTGGTATTACTTGATTGGCAACGAGGTCTTACTGTTGTAGTGTTGAACTAGCCAAATGTAACTGTAAGTTCTATTCCAATAGTTCCTTTTCTCGTACTTTTCGCCTGTGAAACTCACTTCCTGTTTCTTGCTTCCTCGCCAACTACAATCTTCAAAAAAATTAAACGCAACGCCAATTCACGACTGGTCTTTCATACCATCCTTATAAAATCCTTGTAAATATTTGGTTGCATTAAAAGATATAAGTAAAATGCCTTGAGGACACGATGCCAGAAAAAAAAAAGTAGAGGAAAGCCAAATAATGCAGAGGGATAAAATAGTTCTGTGGTTAACAAGTAATGATTGGCAGATAATAAATAAGCTTGTTCAAGATCGTTATAAATGACGGCATGTCATGTTGACAAGTTACCGCAGGCGAAAACAGTAATAATATCCAAGAAAGAATGCTATAAAAGGGACAAGCCAAACGTTGTGCTAAGAAAAGAAAAATTTCAATAATTCAATTACTTCTTGAAATTATTCTAGATATATATTTACTAAACAATTTGTTTTGAAACGTTTCCATCCGTCGAGGACCGGACTTCCGGCATTTGCAATATTAGCTTGCTAACCAACGAACTCTGAAAGGTGAACATTCCACTTAGGTGAAATATGATATAAATTCAATAGAAAAATTCAAATGCATTTTAAATAGTTTTCCATATTTTAAATTTATTTATTTACAAAAAAACAAACAAAAAAACAAAATGGATAAAAAGAAGAAAAAGGTTTTTATAACAGTTAATAGTGTCAGATAAGTTTTTTCTCTTTTCAAACACTCACTCTCTTTATCCACCTTTTTTTAACGACCGTTTTTTAAATACTGCTTTTATCTTATAATAGTTGTACATTTAGTTTATAAAATATATTGGGATGTCAGATAAATTCGTTCGTTTCTTTCCACATTTATTTTAATCCTGTTATCCAACAATTTTAACAAAATCAGACAATAATATAAAACGATAAACAAAGTTGTAGAGAAGAATAGAGCTACAAAAACATGAAACACTACGGAAAAATATTTTTCGTTTAAATAACATTAGATAAATGAACTAATTTATCTGACACCCAATATGGGTATATGTGTGTAAATATATGTGTGTGTGTGTGTCAGAGTGAGAGAGAGAGAGAGAGAGAGAGAGAGAGAGGGAGAGAGAGTGAGGGAGAGTGAGTAAGTGATTTGTCTATTGGTCTTGTAAGAATTTGATGGAATAAGTTGGTAATTCAAAAACGTTAAGAACAGCAGGAAGTTAGTATTTCGTCTTTTTGCGCTTGTAATTTGCTTTTCCTTTCAATATGTTGCTTTTTTGCAGCTCTTAATAAAATTTAAAACGATAAATATAAAATAAAGTAGTAGATGAAGAATAGCGCCCACCAAACATAAAACACTATGGTAAAAATATTTTGCGTTTTAATTCAAAGGGGGAAAAAAACGAACGAATTTATCTGACAACGCAATAAATGCAATTGCATCAATTATTATGGGATAGATGTCGGACTAATGTTTGAATTTTCCTTTTTTGGTGTATTAAAAAAAAATTAAAAAAATATTAAAAAACACATTTCATTTATTTAATATACAACCAAAATGAGGAGTCGTATCTTCATACAAATGTTTATTTTTTTATAATTATTTCACATATTCTTCAAAATTTAGAACATTTCATAGAAACAAAATTGAAGGCAAAAAAACAAAAAAAAAAAAATAGGAAAAAAGAGAAAAGGAATCCAGGTAAAAAAGTCACTGTTAAAAAAGTCACAGTAAAAAAAAGTTCAGGAAAAAAGTCACAGGAAAAAAAAGAAACAAGACAAGGTTAGCATACAACGGACAAAATCCCAACCCCTTATCCAAATAATGGACAAAATCCCAGTCTCACAGTTATAAATAAATTGAAAATTCAAGGAAATTTTAATTCAAATTTTAATGTCAAATTGAAACTTTCTTCATCTAATGTTGGGTACTAGGACTCCCTAACTATGAAATATATCGAATAACATAGAAAACTCTTTTTTTACAGCTTAAATCTATCGTCGAATACGATCTAGGTGGTTTGTTTACGTTTTGGAACAAACATTAAAAAACACCCTTTCTTCTCATAAAGTCGGGTCTTATGGGATACTAAGACTCCCCAACTATGAAATATATCGAATACATGATCGTAGCAGTGTTAGAAAAGTTTTTTTCTTTTTCTGGTGCAAACGGACCAGATCCATAAACACGTGAAATACCCGACAGAAGTAGATGACTTTATTACTGGCCACTATAAATTAATTATGACATTTTTTTTCTTGTGACTTTTCCTGCGCCTTTTTTCCTGTGACTTTTTTCCTGTGACTTTATTACTGGTCACAGAAAAAAGAACTTGAAGTATCATTCATTTCAGATATCTTTTATTCAATTTTTTTTCTTTCTTTCAAATATTAAAAAAAAATCTTTAAAAGCATTAAATTCCATTTAAACGAAACACATTCACTTTTGGGACACGATTCACAATTTCACCTTTTACAGTTTGTACATCATAGTTGTTCAGAAGTTAAATCATTGGACTGATGACCGTTAAATTTACGGTTCAGTTACCGTTACTTAGTTGGGGATGATACAGGAAATAAAATTTACCAAAAAAAAAAAAATATATAAAAATAAAAATACGGCATGTTGATAGGGCCCATACTGTTGTTTGCAAAAGCGAATTATTACATCATAGCGAGACTTAGTACTGCCATAATGTATAAAAACCTCATAATAAACATTAACCCCCAAATGGTAAGTCATTGAAGGTTCCTGACCGACGAATTAACTAAATTTTTCGTAATTAAAGTTTGTTAATTCAGATTGTTACACCCGTCTTGTGTTTTCTTTCAATTACAGATTTGTCTGAACTCAGGTAAATCTGACACAAAGCCATAAAAAATAAAAAACTCTCGAATTTAATAATGGCTTGTGAAACTAGCATGCTAGCCACTGAACGAGATCTGGATATTAAATTATAATTGATTATGATTTGAAATTTACAAGCTAGTTAGGATAATTTTAGATATAATTAGGATTTTTGAGTTTTGTGGTGAAATTATTACAACCACTAATTTGGTATCTCTATTGAGAATCGAATTTAATGATGATTTTAAAGACCAGGACGCTATCCCCTGAACTACAAGTTCTGGATATTATAAGTAATTATGATTTGAAATTTACAAGCTCTTTTCTTGTGTGTAGGATATTGTTTGAACTTTTGAGTTTTGCGTATAATTATTAAAACCACTAAGATAGTAGTCGTCGCTTTGCTGAGGGCAACGTGATCACATTTCAAATCTAAATTGCTAGTCCATTTAAAATACAACATTGATTAGAAAATATATTCAGAAGGAGTTATAAAAATGATTCAAACAGCCCTACATTTCGGCTTATACTTTTTTTTCCTTTTACCCAGGGGTTGTTTCCAGATTGGAAATGAAATTAAACCTCCTGACGCAGATGTCA